TATTTTATTTTATTTTATTTTATTTTATATTTTATTTTATTTTATTTTTATTAGGGTCTCTCTTTGTTTTATTTTTCCTGAAATGTTATTTCAGTTTTTTTGTTCATCGCCACCTGACGATATTCTTTCCATTGAGTTTTAGAGAGAGTGGGAGGGAGGGAGAGACAGAGAGAGAAACACGGATGTGAGAGAGACGCAACCATGGGTTGCCTCCTGCGTGCGCCCCTAGGCCACGGATCAGACCTTCAGGCACGGGCGCTGGATTGGGAATCGGACCCAAGACCCTTCAGTGTCCAGGCTGATTCTCTAGCCTCTTGAGTCACGCTGGCCAAGGGTAACTGTGGCTTTTAGATTTAGCAGTTGCCACAAAGGCCCTGCGGTAGCTGCCTGAGGGGAGACACAGACCCAGGGAACTGCCGGCCAGCCCATGGATCTGGACTGAGAGATTCCCCCGGCCACCAGGCAGGGGGAAGCCAGGCGTGTTGCCTGCAGGATGCCGGCACCGTGCTGGGCCACAGAGGTCACCCGAGAAACAGGTGAGGCTCGGGGAGCACACGTATCTCCCCAAAGGGAGCCTCCAGGACGGCCTTCAGACCGCTCCTTCTCCTCTTTGCGTTTCTCCAGGCCACTCCAAGTACGGTCCATGGGCAGGCGAGACCCTCAGGATGACAAGTGATAGATCAGAGAGCACTGAACAGGTGGCCACGCTCCCTCCAGAGGCCCCAGGGAGGGTCCTTCCTGCCTCCTCCAGCTCCTGGAGCTCCAGGTGTCCCTGGGCTGGTGGCCGCCTCCCTCCCGTCTCTGCCTCCGTGTCCACGTGGCTTCTCCTCTGTGTCTGTGTCTCCGCTTCTGTCTCTCACAAGGACCCTGTCCTTGGAGGTCGGGCCCCCCTGACCCAGGACGACCTCATCTCAGATCCTTCCCTTCATCCCATCTGCAAAGGCCTTGTTTCCAAATATGAACCCATTGCGAAGACGGACAATGCTCTGTTCACGGGGTGGATGAAGGCCACATGCTGGAGCTGAGCCAGTGGCATGAGGGACACAGCGTCTCAATCCCAAACTGCAGCCCGGGGACCACTACGGGGCTCGCTGGGACCCGAGGCTGAGCTTTGCAGAGCAGCAAGGGGACGGCTGACCCGTGAGCGCCCACGGCCCAGGCACAGACATCACAGAGATAAAAAGAGATACTTACGGGGTCTCTCTTGGAGGAGCTGCCCTGGGAAAGGAGAGCACAGGAGACACAGTCAATAGCTGTTTTTACAATATTGGATTTAAATGCAAGAGTCCACCCAGAACCCCAGAATGGGTATGAAGATTATTTTAAGCTGAAAATAATCTGGGATTCAACAGATGTAGGAAAACAGCCTTCCAGGCCCTGGCTGCTGTGGCTCAGTGGTTGAGTCTCATGCTGTGCACCAAAAAATCATGGGTTCGATTCCCCGTCAGGGCTCGTGCCCGGGTTACGGGCTCGATCCCCAGTCGGGAGAGTGCAGGAGGCAGCCGATCAATGACTCATCATTGATGTTTCTCTCTCTCTCTCCCTTTCCCTTCCTCTCTCTGAGATCAATAAAAATGTATTTAAACAAGAATGGCTTTGAATGCCGACCTCACACGAAATACAAAAATCATCTCAAAAAAGGAGCACAGGCCTAAACGTCAGCGCTCAGGCCGTGAAAGCCTTAGAATCAGGCATAAGTATAACCGTGACTTGGGCTGAGCCCAACGGTTCCCTAGCTCAGACGTCAAATGTGTAAGAGGCAAAAGGAAAAAAAAAAAAAGTTGGATTTCATCCAAAAGGAATGGGTGTGGTACATGTGGAGCGTGGAATACTATACAGCTGTGAAAAGGAAAGATCTCTTATGCTTTGGGACAGAAGGGAGGGGCCTGGAGAGTGTTATGCTGAGTGAAATAAGCCAGACAGAGAAAGACAAACATCCCCATGATCTCACTCAGATGTGGAATCTAATGAACAAAATAAACTGACAAACAAAATAGATTCAGAGACAGATGCATGGAGCAGATGGAGGGAGCTCAGAGGGAAGGCGGGGAGACGGGAAGAGATGAACTGAAGAATTTATATGCATCTGTGCGTAGGCCATGGACACAGGCAATAGTGTGGGGAAGGCCTGGGGGCGCGTAAGGGTGCAGGGCAGAGGGGGGGCAATGGGGTAAAAAAGTGGGACATCTGGAATACTTTCAACAATAAAGATATTTTAAAAAAATAAAAATCCTGGGTGGTGCTATTATGGCCAAGAGCAGTTAAAGGACTATCGTAGAACCGTTTTTCCAGAGCGGAGCTGCGATTCCGTCAGTGGGGATTCAACTCCACGGGTGAATCTCCCCGAGGTCGGGGCCCTCACCTCCCTTTGGATGTCCAGTTCGTAGCACAAGGCACCGCTCGACATGCCCAGTCTCATCTTGGGGTTGTCCCACCGGATAATGTGATGGGACCCGTTGTACTGAACCGTGATGTTTGCTGGGGGGTTATACTTTTCTAAGAAAAAAAACACACACCNAAAAAACACAAACCAGAAAATTCATGCAACTCGAGGACATAGCAACGTACAAGGCAGAGGCGTCGAGGAGACGCAGCGGAATGGATCTTCCTCATCGCTGTCTCTCTCCCCCTTCCTCTCTCTCTGAAAAGCAATGAGGTAAAAAATACCCGCCGGGCAGGATTAAAAAACCCAAAATGTCATTTTTACCCTTCATTGAGTTCCCTGTAGATTTACCACCTGCAGGAGCTCAGACCCGTTTCCCTTTATCAGCTGACTCGCCATTTATTGTTCTTTGTTCAAATGGTACATAAATCCTTCGATCTAACTGCTTTTTTGGGGGGGGAGGGGAGTGTGTTTCATTTTATTTCTATGGACCTCCCCCATGCATGTAAAAATTTAAAACATTAAATTTAAAACAGATGCTTTTCTCCTGTTCAGGTTGCATTTGTGAATTTAATTCACATGCCTCCGTCACAGAACCTAAGAGGGTATAGGAAAAAAAAATTTTTTTTTCTTCCCTTCTAGTCCTAAGTACGTGAAGACGGAAATGTGCCCCAGAAACAAAATACGTGTGTTAGATAAACTTCGTTCAGGCTTAAGGGAGAGGGCTGCTGGCCGTAAATTCAACATTAATGCATCAGCAACGTATATTCAGTAAGATGTTTTTAAGCAGAAACACGCGTAAAACAAGGTCGTATGTTGAGCAGCTGATGGAAATGCTGTGGCCAGAGGCTAACCTTGTACTTTCCTCTAAACGGGACGATTGAGTATTTGCTAGGTTTAGAGTTTTAGGGAATTTCTGCAACATCAGCACCACAAATGTCGAGGATCTCTCGTGTGCGTGTCGTCTTTTACGTGGGACCCCAATATGCGCCCCTCCTGGATCCCACCCCAAGGCGGGGCGGGGGGGGTCATGAGCATCCGAACCCCCATTCTGCGCATTTCCCGCACCCCGAATGTAGGCCCTGGATTGTGCTCGGGCCCCCACACCCCGTCCCAGGAAGTCCCGGTCCAAACCCAAAAGGCGGGGAAGCGAGACGAGACACTGTCTTACCCATTTCAATGGTTTTCAGCGGAGAGACGTCCACGAACTGGACGGCGGTCTCCTGGCTGGTTCCGTTCACCCAGAAGAAGTAGGTTTCTGTCAGCTGGGGTCCCACGAGCTCATCAAAATGACAGCCCACGTGGGTCCCCCTCAAGTCAGCGATGTATCGGGGACATTCGACCTCACGGTCCTGCCTGCAGTTTCCACAGGGGATCAAGGGAAAGGCGGGGTGGGTGTCCTGTTGGGGGCTCACCGTGGAGGCCGAAACCTCCCCCCCTGAACCCTGAAAACCCTCCAAAGAGGGCAAGAAATAAGATATTATATATATATGATATTATATTTATATAATTTTTATCCAATGATAATATATTATCATATATATGATTATATATATTTTATATATATTGATAATATATATTATCATATATGTGATTATATATATTTTATATATATAGATAATATATATTATCATATATATGATTATATATATTTTATATATATTGATAATATATTATATATTATCATTGGATAAAATGATAATATACATATAATATATATTATATATATATATAATGATTATATATATTATCATTGGATAAAAATGACACCTGAATGCATGTGTGTCCCAGGTCATCGCAAAAAGATTGCAAAGAAAGGAAGAAATCTCTCCCTTTAAAAAAAAAATTATTTTATTTTTTAATCTTCGCACGAGGATTTTTTTCCCCCATTGATTTTCAGAGAGAGGAGATGAGAGAGAGAGAGAGAAACATCGATGTGAGAGACACACCGACCGGTTGCCTCCCGCACGAGCCCCGACAGGGCCGGGATTCAAACCCGCAACCGGGATACATGCCCTTGGCCAGAATCGAACGCACGACCCTTCCGCCCTCAGGCGGACGCTCTTAACCAAGGAGCCAAACCGTTGGCCGGGGCCATGGGTTGATTCTTATATGTGCCCTGAGCGGGGAATCGAACCCGCAACCTCGGCGCCGCATCTGGACGATGCTCTAAGGACTTGGGCCACCCGTCAGGAGAGCTGAGTGGAGACGCCCCTTCCTGGTTACACCCTCGGGATAAAAATGTCTCATTTCCTAATTTCTTTAGGATTTATGGAATTTGCGGGGTTTACGGAATTTGCGGGGTTTACGGAATTTGCAGCCGGGAAACAGCCGAAGCCAAATTTAAACATTTTCTCTCTTTGTCTGGTTCTCTGGCTCTTTGGCATTTCAGAGACGCGGCCCCAGGTCCTGGAAGAAGCATCTCTGAGACATGCGACCGGCTAAAGCTGTGATTTGTGACTTTTTTTTGTTTTTTTTTAAACATATTTTTATTGCTTTTAGACAGAGAGGCTGCCTCCTGCACCCCCCCAACTGGAGATGGAGCCAGAAACCCGGGCACGTGCCCTGACCTGGCATCGAATCCTGACCTCCTGGTTCATAGGACAATGCTCTAGGCAGCCTGTGACTTTAGGGTCCCCAGCTCACCTGGACGTCCAGCCGTACAGGTGATACTGGATGTCGGCGGGGGCGGCCGGGCCCGGCCTCCAGCTACACTTCATGAGGTGCACGTCGTAAATGAGGCAGGAGAAGTTGACAGCCCCGGAGCCTTCCCTGCCTGGGGAGACAAACCCAAATCCTCACCGATGGCACCCCCAGCACCTCGACGGCGAGGGCCAGGCCAGGCCCATGCAGGGGAGCCGGGGTTCCAGCCAAGGTGACATCACCTGAGTTGCGAAAGTCCAGGACTTCCTGAAACGTCTCCCCGTCGGCGGACACGGTCACGGTCAGGGTGGCGCCTCTGTGCACCACGGCGTTTGGGAATCGGCAGAAGTAGGTGTCGTCTCGGGCCTGGAAGAGGCGCGGCCAAGGACACAGACACGGTGTCTCCCCCAAAACGTACACACGCCTGTTTCCCGACAGCTCAATTTATGTTTTTTTTTTTTCAGATGTAGCCCATTGGAGTTAATAAATTATTTGTAAGTGTATCTACATTTTTTTGGGGGGGACGCCCTGTGCAGAACCTGTGCTTTGAACTCCCTTGGACCCGATTCTATCCGGCAACAGCTCTGTGAGGGTTTCTGGCTGTTTCGGTCACTTCTTTGTTTTTAAAATATTTTTATTGATTTTTAGAGAGCGGAAGGGAGAGGGAGAGAGAGAGAGAAACATCTATGAGTCATGGATCGGCTGCCTCCTGCATGCCCCTTACTGGGGATCGAACCCACAACCCGGGCATGTGCCCTGACCCCAGAATGGAACTGGTGACCTTTAGGTGCCCTGGATGGTGCCCAACCAACTGAGCCACACCCGCCAGGGCCTCTACCCATTTCTTTGGGTGTCACTATTGTTCTAGGAAGGCCTCTGGGTACATATAAAATTTAACATCAGTTTAAAAATATATGGTTTTTCTTTGCCCGGCTGGCGTGGCTCAGCAGTTGAGTGTCGACCTAAGATCCAGGAGGTCCGGGTTCAATTCCCGGTCAGGGCACGTTCCTTCTAAACGAAGGCGTTCGCGCTCTCGGTTCCTCTTGGTTGACCCCTGGCTTTCGGGGTTCTCGCTCTCCTGCTCCCCTGAATTCTCCCATGTGGCCCACGGCCGTGGGGGACCCCACATGCAATGGGCTGATGCACTGTAACGGGCCTGAAGCTGGACTGGACCCAGCTCCACCGTGGAACGGAAACTCTGGGCACCCGCTTTGCTTGCAGCCCTGCTGGATCCCCAGCTGCACCTCTCCCGGGACAGGACCAAGGCAAATGGGACTTTGCAAACCCAGGGATGTCATTCTGCTCAAATAAAAATCACTCAGCCTCCCCTGCGAGTCTCAGAAAATTATTTTTCTTGAGATATTGTCAGGATCCCACCCCCTGGACTCAGTGGGGAGAGGGGTACCCCGACTTCCTCGATAACAGTGCCGTATGGGAATGGTTTCTTTTGCCCATTTTTCCCCCAGCAGATTGGGGACAAAAGGGGTGTCCTCACCCCGTATTGCACCTATTTCATCAGCCCAACTCACAGCCGACCATGGGTGGGAGGGAGTCTGTGGGGTGCCACCTTGGTGCCTGTGTAGCATCCACCAGATGATCAGCCCCAGAAATCCAAATCTCCTTTTCTTCACGTAGTCGTTTCTCTATTTATTGCCTTTTGCTTAAAATGGTGCCCGTATAATAAGCTCCCGAGTCCAACCCCTTCTTTGGGTTTTCATGTCTTGTCTGTGAAGCTTCATGTATGTAAAAACTAAATGTGTGAACCAGACGGCACGCGGGAGGCTTAGCTGCTCTTTTGTCAGTTTAATTTGCAGGCCCCTGTCACGGAACTTAAGGAGATGGAGGAAATCAGCTTTTTGGTTTTTTTTTTCTTTTTTTTTTTTTTCCATCTTCGACGAGAGTGATAGGAGTGAGGATCTGGGTCAGGGAGGGGACTCGGGAGGCATTTCACAGAGAAATGCAGGATTTACAAGACGTCAAGGCCCAGGGTGCGAATCCTGTGCGCTCACCTGTGGGCGTTGCCGGGTGGAAAACTTGGGCGGGGTATCTATTTTGCATTCTTGCCAGGTCACGTTTCTCCGATAATTCCAGGTCAGCAGTTTTCTTCTCGGATCTAGCTTCATGTTTACAACGGGCGATAGGCCCCCCTCTGCAGCCACTAAAAGAAACAAACACCCAAAAACACCATGAGAGTCGGGAGTGCAGGAGGCGATGCGGGGCATGGACCACGATGGGCTTTTCAGGGGCAAATAAGGTCATAATTCTGGATGATTGAGGGGCCAGGTGGGTACCGGAAATACCCAGGGGACAGGGGGGATGGCTCTGTAAAGTATATGATTGTCTAAACATCGGGCAGTGCCCCTGAAATGAACACAAAATAATACTGAGTGTCCGCTTTACTTGAAACTAAAATGAATAAATGAGTTTAGAAGCAAATAAAAAAAAATTTTAAAAAAGATTTAATTCTCTTGGTTGAAAATTCAGGAAGAGACTCCCCACCTTCTCTGTCTCTCTCTGTCTCTCTCTTTTTAAAAATTTTTCCAGAGTGTCTCTCTGTTCCTTTTGAACGGATGTCAGTTTCTCAAATGTGCCCACACTCCTGTGCGCAGGTGTATTGGAGCAAAGACGTGAATTCCCGCCTCCAGAGAGAGAAAGCGTCTCCCTTCAGCAGCATCTCGCTGGGGTTTCCAAACCCACCCGAGGGCACAGGCGGGCGGGCCCTGTCTCTCTCCACCACCAGGTGGGATTTCCGTGTGTGCCGGCTCGTGAGTGGGTTTGTCTGGGGCACAGTACCATTCTTAGTTAATATAAACTAAGATCATTTTCCTTCTGCCTTTGGGGACAGGTTTTCCAGTTTGGCAGGACATTGGGGGCTTAATAATTTTCCCTCGCCTGGCAGGGCCGGGGGTGGCTCAGCGGTTGAGCGTCGACCTAGAATCCAGGAGGTGGCGGGTTTGATTCCCGGTCAGGACACATGCCCGGGTTGTGGGCTTGATCCCCAGTTGGGGGCGTGCAGGAGGCAGCCGATCAATGACTCTCATCATTGATGTTTCTATTTCTCTCTCCCACTCACCGTTCCTCTGGAATCAATAAAGACATATTTAAAAAAATAAAATAATAGTTCACTTCTAATAATAATTATAACTTTTCCTCAATCCACTCAGAAAGTCTGACACCCCAGCTGGGTTTGGGGTTTGGGGCTGGAGTCGTAGGACGTCTGATGCATTGACCTCTGTTCTCACGCACAGGGCGGTGCTCCAGGTGAGGGAATTTGCTCCCCTTCAAGCCCCGCTGCACCCCAGGTCCCTTGCCCGCACCTACCCAGGTGTGCGTCTTCGAAGCGCGCTGAGCTCAGGAGCACCAGGAGGCTCGCCAAGTCCCACAGAAACGCCATGCCCAGTCCCACAGCCGGACCTATGCATCCAAAGGGGAGACACCAGGTCAGAGATCCGATCCTAGCCGAGGCAGGACCCCTGTTCTCAACACGCCCCGCAGGTAATTACAGGGCCCTTGGGTGGTTCCCGTGGCCCCGTTTGTCTCCAGTCTCCCATCAGAGCGTAACATGTCCTTACCTCCAGGCTCCCACACCCCTGGGTCACCTGGCAAAATGAGGTCACCTTCTAAATTCCGCCTGAAACTCCCTCCAAGGCATCAATAAGGGCAACACAGCTCTACGATGGTGACTTTGAGCAAACTGGGATGGAAGAAATGTTTTTGGGGGTCCTGCCCTATGTGTCTGTCCCTAGCCCACCGTTACTGGTCCACAACACCCTCCCCCCCTCTACCCTCTTAGGCGCTGTGCCTGGTACCTGCAAATTAAACTGATAAAAGAGTAGAGGAAAAGTAGCTTTAATTATGTAATGCTCACGTGAGTTCAGACACAAATAAGGCTCAGGGAGATGACCAGGTGATTGAGCCCTATGTTGAATTTAGTCTCAACAAATAAAAATAGTCTTGGTTGCTTCTGGTTGGAGCACAGTTGTGGGACGCGGAGGGAGGGGAGGAAATGTGTGGGTCACAGCGTTGTCTGGTTCTGCAGATAAGGGTCCCTGGGTGGGGGTAGGGGGGATAAGATCTGTGTCTGAGATCAGCTCTATTCTGGAGACATTTTTACAAATGGAAATTTCCTTTATTCACGAAAATCTCCTTTACAGATGGAGAAATGCGTATGCTTATTTTTAGGTAGTTAGGATGAGGGAAGGAGCGTTCCCAGCCTTTGCCGGTTCTCAGTGGCCTTTCGCTGAAAATAATCCGTGTGCCACTGAGGCACTTTTTGGGGTCACACTCTCTGGTCTCTTTTACGGCTCAGTGTTGTGGCCGTGGAGGGAGAGAGCTCAGATCTCAGCAGCCCTGGACTCAGGCTCCCTGGCATTAGGGCAGAAGATGCCACAAGCCCCAGGACTCGGCACACAGGGCTCCCCATGTGAGAAGAGCAGTTGGGGGGTGACTCCACCCCGTATTTCCTGCATGCTGCTTTCAGGTGCAGCTCTCAGGGGTCAGGCCCCCTGCCTGACCTTTGATGTCCGCTGCATCCGGGCTCCCCGCTCCCTGCTTTCCTTTTAGGGGACCACCCTCCTGCACTCCTCCCTCCCTTTGCAAGCTCGTCGGGCTTGGCTCTGACAGAGGCCTTCCTCCTCCAGGAAGACCTCCTTCTCATATCTTTGTAAATTAACCCAGTTATTAGATAACTGGGAAGGAGCTCAAATACTTTAGACACATGCCCTGTAAAGTCTGTGGGTCAGTCACACCTGGGAACAGAGTAGGTGTGGCTGCTGCAAGCACCGGAAGATTTGATATTTAATCCCTGAAACAAAGGAGTTTGCTCCCTTTTCTCTCTTGCTTGCTTGCTTTTGGCTCCTGGCTTGCGAGCTCTCAAGCTCCTGCACTTGCCCACGTGGCTCATGACCATGGGGACCCCCCACCCCCCCACAGACTGATGGGCTGCAACTAGCCTGATGCTGGACCAGGCCCGGCTTCCCCGTGGAAAGGAAACTCTGGACACTGGCTTTGCTTCTAGCTCTGCTGGATCCCCAGCTGCCCATCTTCCAGGGCTGGACTAAGGGACATGGGGCTTTGCAAACCAAGAAATATAATTCCACGCAAATAAAAACCATTCATTCCCCCATTCAAGTCTTAGGCATTTTTGTGTGTGTGTCTCTCAAGAGATCACAAGGACCCCACTCCCACCAGCGACGGAGAAATCCCACCCGTCCAATCCTCCGGCAACAGAGTCATTCCACCTGGGAATCGTTAGCTGGCCCATCTGCCAACCCCTGGAGGCCTGATCCCTTTAAATCCCAAAGTCCGTGGGTCTGTCTGCTCACGTCAGACGGGCAGGAAGCTTAGACCCTGTGGGTGACTCATGGAAAATAAACGTGTTCGGCTCTGAACATCTGGGCTCGACGTCCGGGGACAGGTGGGGATGCCCACGTGTGAGACACTAAACCAGCTCAGAGACGCTGCTCCCTGGGGTGGGGGTGGGGGGGCAGGACCGAGCTTGTTAGGTTTTTAACAGATTCTGTCCGGCTGACCCAATGATGTCCCAATTGGCTGAGTCTCGGGCCCCCTTTTTTCTGTCTCTCAATAAACAGAAAACCCCCCACAGAACATTACCTACACGGGAGCTCCCATAAGACTGTCCGCTGTTTTCTCAACAGAAACCTTGCAGGCCAGAAGGGAGAGGCGAGAAATACTCAACGGGATGAAATGCAAGGACCTACAGCCAAGATGACGCTACCCAACCTGTCTCCCGAAACATCTCTGCCCAATTTCCTCCCTCCTGGGCCGTGTTGAGGCAAATCCTAAGCTCATATTTCATTGGAAGAAAAAAAAAAAAGCTCCATGTGGATTTCTAAGCCTTAAAGAGGCTTCCTTATGACAATGAAAATATTGACACCTAATTAGAGGGGATTCCATTTATTTACTGTTTTGTTTTTTTCTTTTGTTAATCCCCAGCTGAGGATATTTTTCATCGATTTTTAAAGACAGTAGGAAGGAGAGCGAGAGCGAGAGAGAAACATCGACGTGAGATGTGAGAGACACACATCGACTGGCTGCCTCCCGCACCCACCCCAACCGGGGCCTGGGATTGAACCTGCAACCCAGGTAAGTGCCCTTCATGGGGGATCTAACCTGTGACCCTTTGGTGCCTGGCCAGATGCTCTAACCACTGAGCCACGCCGGCCAGGACTGTCTTTTCCTTCTTTTGACCAATCCACCGCCCCCCCCCCCACATTGCCGCCCAAGAGATGGCGAAAAGTCCACTTACTGGCTGGTCAACGTTGTGCGTCTCTCTGGGACTGTTTCCCGGGCTTTTGGAAGGTGCTGTTTTCCCAGGCTGGTGCTGGACAATGGCGTACAATGACCACCCTGGACCGAGGTCCCCAAGGGTCCCAACGACTGTCCTGGGTGCAGCCGGTAGAATATAAGCTCTCCCTCCCTCTCTCTCTTTGTTCAACAGTTCTCTCCGAGGTCAGCCTTTTGACAAAAATCTCAATCTCCTATCAGCCGAGCCTTCCTCCTGAGGCGCAGCTGGGCCCTGTTATCACTCTGGTCGGCAGGAAGTGCTGTTACCCCCAGTTGTCCATCTGGAGCCCCTTTTCTTAACCTCTGTCTCGGCTTCCCTTCCTGCAGCTTGGTCTGTCTCTCCCTTTTGTCTGCTCAGTGGGAGCTGGACCATTTTCTATTTTATTTTATTTATTTTATTTTATATTTTATTTTAATTTTGTTAATTTTAATTTTTTAAAATCCTCACTGAGGATATTTTTTTCCCATTGCTTTTAAGGGAGAGAGAGAGAGAGGGAGAAACATCAATGGGAGAGAGACACATCCACGGGCTGCCTCCCGCGTGAACCCAGAGCCTGAAACCAAAGTAAATGCCCTTGACCGGAAATCGAACCCGGGACCCTTCAGTGAGCCGGCTGGCGCTCTAACCACTGAGCCAAACTGGCTAAGGCAGGTGGACCCTTTTCAATGTCAGGTTCTCCTAAATGTTGTGTGTGAGTCTCTCCTGGTCCATTTTCTTAACCTGCCTC